GCTGCTGTGCTCTCTATGTTTCCATTCGTAGCATGCATATTGGTCTCCGGTAAATCTTGTGTCCCAATCGCACAAAAAGCACATATATTTTATATATCGCTTCGAAAACCGAAAAGCAATACTACAACTTTGAAATCGCAGCATATGCGCCACATAATATATGTTTAGCGTAGTTAACCATTTTTAAAATATGTTGTAGTGCATCATACGTTTCTTTCGTTTCTGTATTATACGCGATTGGAACCGAAGGTTTTTCATTGGTCTTATGCAGCAAAACCTAAGCTGAGTTTTGAACTGTCAATAAACAATCTCCAGTCATCTGCTTCATATTTTATTTCCATTGCGTCCATCAATTTTCCTACATCCGAGCAATATGCAGAAGTCTTTTCATCATTCACAACAAATAAACTTTGGAGTGTTGCCTGACGACTTCGATAAGCTGTGATTTTCGTACCGGGTGCCAAAAGATTGTTTGATTTCAAAAACGAAGCCAGCTGTTCTGCTTTATGCTGTGTTAATTCCAATTTAGCAACAATGGAATCAAGCTGATTTTGATTTATTAAAATAGGCTGATTGGATACAGATGGTTCGGGATCATCACTTGAATCATATGTTGGTGTGAAAGTCGGAGCAGTCACAGAAGATAGATCTGGGCTGAAACATTTTGGCACAGGAATGTAGCCCGAATGAGGCAATGGTCTTCGGCCACTTGCAACACCAACGTAATTATACGATTTTCTTGCTGTTTTTCTTAATGCGGCTCCTTTATTGGCACATGCGTAGCAAATCAATGGATTGTGACCGGCGCCAGGATTAGTCCGAATCATTGGAATACCGAATGGCATAGATTCACGTCTTGTATTTTTCCAATCCATTAGACGATTGTAACAAGTTTTACTCACTATATTTGGAACCCAATTTTTGTTCACTATAACATTTTAGTGGAAGTACACCTCGTATGTTTGAACAAAATATGCACTGAAATTTCCCTTTTTTTCATGTTTTTGTACATATTTACCGCAGCAATAGCAAAAGCAATTTATATCTGGCTTGCACATTTCCATTTTTAGCGTTAAATTGAATGTATATGTCCATATAAAATGTGAAATACGGATGCTTGGAACGCAATTAAAGAAGTAATAGAAGGCTTGTTGGGAAAGCATCGTTCTAGCAACTACAATGTTTCTGTCGCAAGGATGTTAACATCGCTCTCGAAAATTAGTGTCCACATGTCCTTGAAAATTTACTATTTACATCATCATCTGGACTACTTCAGCAGACAAATGGCCACTGAATCTGATGAACAAGGCGAACGCTACCATCAAGTTGCTAAATTAGGTAATATCTATGAGATTTTTTTTCAAACTCATTTTAATAAAAAAACAAATCACAGATACAGAGAAAAACTGTCGCCGAGTGCAATACTTGCGGAAATTTGTTGGTGTAGTAGACATGTCTTCGAAGACATGGATTATCCTGATGATGAAGAATTTCCAGAAGTTGCAGTAGGGTCAGCAATGGAGTCACAAGTTGACATTATGTGTGGCTCAGAAACTGATGACAGCGAGGATTGCGATAGCGATGACACTAGCCCACAACAATCACCATCGAAAAGGCCTAGACTCTAGAGCAATGTTTATGTACATATAAACTTTGTTCTTCTTTAAACTAAATTTGTCCTTAAGTTTTGTTAATTTTCATAAAATCAATACTCTTCGGGTAGGAAGACTCAGGTCTATAGCCCTTTTGGATTGATCTTATATTTGTTTTATATATGTATTTTTTTATTTATTCGTATTTGTTATAGTTATTTTTATATTTCAAATAAATATTGTTCTCTCTCTCTAATATAGTACTACTATATTACTATATACTTATAGTAGAATACTCTTATAGTTACAATTCGTAGAACTCTCGGGTAAAGACGTCATTTTTCAAATAGAATTTTTTTTTTTTCGAAATTTGACAATTTTTTGAAGATTTCAGTCGATAAAATTAGTCCAACTTAATTTTTTACATACATATATTAATGAAAATTATTTATTTAAGCCTTAGCTAAGCCTTAGTCTTTGCTGAAGAATGAAATGAGAAATCATCAATGAATCTTGAGTTATAACTGAAAAACTAAGCAAACAAACATCAAGATAAGGAAAGAAATATAAAAGGTCATAAAAAAAAAGTTTGGCCTGAGAACGCCAAACCCTTTGGAGGTTTTACTATACTGGCCAAGTACTTTCATCCTGACTTGGAATTTCTCACCCCCCAGATAATGACCCCGAAAATGTTCCACAGTGTAATAGACATATTTTTGAAAATGTTAAAAATCATTCCCGTACATCATATCGTTAGGTATTACGGTCAGAAATGTTCGCAATTTAATAGTGATTTTTTTAATAATGTATTCCTTATGAACTATGCTACTATAGCAGTCACAAATCAAACAACAAAAGTCGTTAGTTTTGCAAAAAAATGTATTAGTTTGATTCAGTTAAGGTTGAAAGAATTTGTCTATTTAGTTTGACACACGATTTCTAAACAAAAGAGTAGTATAACACTCTTAGCAAGTTATTTTAAAAGATGGCCAGTTTAGTCAAGATTCCAAAATGGTATAACACTTGCCATTTTTCTTTTACTCAAAAATATTATTGCCTCTTTTTCTGCAAAAAACGCATTATTTAAAAAATTCACACTTTTGTATTTTATTTGTATTTCCTCCAAAATAATTTAACAAGGTTCTGGCCAAAATAAAAATTTGAGAATTCAGACTTAAGTATTATCAATTACGTTCTCTTCATCTAAAATATTTTCAGATTTCTAGCACTTCCGGTTATACCGGAAGTCACCACCTACTTTATTTTTTTAAATGGAACACCTGTATATTTTTACATATTTGCATTTGTCTGTTTTCAAGGTTTATGAATATGGGATATAAAAGATGTAACATGAGACGCCGAAGACGACTAAGTAATAAAATATGGTGGGTACCATTTAAAAAAATGAAGTTATGGTACTTCCAAATTTCGAAAAGTTAATTTTAAAAGTAAAATGATCAAAGGATCTAGACAGCCGTTCTCGGCACCAAAACATACTTCATCATGTCCGGTTATACCGGAAGTCGCCACCTACTTTATTTTTTTAAATAGAACATCCTGTATATTTTTACATATTTGGATTTGTCTGTTTTCAAGGTTTATAAATTACTTTACTTTTTGCAATTTGATTCGGCCTTTCTCGAGTTATTCGAATTTTTCTAGAAAAATCTGGTCCAGCAGACATTGTTCAAAAAATCAAAGAACACTCGATTTTTGGGATATCAATTTAGGATTCAGAACATGCTTAAGCAACATGATGCGAGTATGTTTTGCCGAGAACGGTTGTCTAGAACGTTTGGTCACTTTACTATGGCACGTTAACTTTTCGAAATTTGGAAGTACCATAACTTTTAGCTTAGTGTGCCATGAAAAACAAGCCTTCTCAATGAGTTCTTGTCAATGACTCACTTGTTTACGTCACTTGATGCATGTGAGCTAATAATTATCTGTTAGGTCCCTCAATATTAGTACTGAAAAGAGTTAAAATCGATAACAATAACGTAAGTAATATTTACACAGATCAAGAAATTTTTAATTTATTTTTTATGCATGAAAAGCGCGACAAAGTTCGTAGTATGATTCCCAGATCTTCTTTGGCAGCTCGAATTGAGGTGTTGGGACTGGGCTCGAAATAAGCCAAAGTATTCACCTCTTCCGTTGCATTATCTAGTACATTTTTTGGTCAGTTTAACACATGATTAATTCGTCCAAAATGCAAAAAATTTGCTTCTATTCTTCTAAATTTACCTTTTGTAGTCGGAGGTAAATGTGGATAATTTTCATTAAACATTCTGCAAGTTCTACTAAGAACTTTGTCGCACTTTTCGTGCACAAAAAATAAATTATGGATTTCTTCATTTATATAAACATTATTTACGTTATTAATATCCATTTTAACTGGTTTTAGACTCACAAGCATCAAACAACGTAAATCAGACTTTGACGTTTGTCAATAAGTCATTAAACATTTGTTTTCCATGGCACACTAGGTTAATATTGATATGATATGCGAGCATTTTTCAAAAAACCCTAATTATTTCTCAAACTATTAATGTTAGGCATAGGACATATGGAGTATAAAAGATGTAAAATGAGACGCCGAAGACGACTAAGTAATAAAATATGGGGGGTGCCATTTAAAAAAATGAAGTTATGGTGCTTCCAAATTTCGAAAAGTTAACGTGTCATAATAAAGTGACCAAACGATCTAGACAGCTGTTCTCGGCACCAAAACATACTCCATAATGTTGTTTAAGCATGTTCTGAATCCTAAATTGATATCTCAAAAAACCAGTGTTCTATGATTTTTTGAACAAATGTCCGCTGGAGCAGCTTTTTCTAGAAAAATTCGAATAACTCGAGAACTAAAGTTATTTATAAACCTTCAAAACAGATAAATCCAAATATGTAAAAATATACAGGGTGTTCCATTTAAAAAAATAAAGTAGGTGGCAACTTCCGGTACAACCGGAAGTGCTAGAAATCTGAAAATATTTTAGATGAAGAGAACGTAATTGATAATACTTAAGTCTGAATTCTCAAATTTTTATTTTGGCCAGAACCCCAGAAACGTCCAATGACCGGTCTCGCTGAGACACCTTGTATTTAAAATCAGCAACCCATAATTAACTAAAAACGGTCAACTGATCTACTGTACACAAAAAAAGTTAAAATTTGCAGCTCAGTGTAATTAAAACTAGAACTACAGTCCTTCATTTATAGATTGTATAGAGCAGCTTAGGGAATAACCTGAGTTGGATTCTATATATGAGCGTTTATATTTAAATATACTGATGTATTAAATAGATAATATTAATAATATGACTGAAAAATATTTTGTCTGTTATATTCGTAGCCCATTCAAACGAGGTTTGTTATATTGAGGGTTCACTGTGCCCTGATTTATACCTAGTAAAGTCTCTTTTTCTAATAATGTAGTTACATTATTTTCTTTTGAGTTAGTAGGTTTAACTAAAATATCTATAACAAAAGTTTGAATAAAAAATATACATAGTTTAACAATATTTAAAGCAATTACCATATAAAATACTACTTTTATTAATAGGTTTTCCGCCTGTTTGCGTGAAATGAAATTTGGTGGGAACTGCTGTGGGCAATAACCTTTTTGTGTATGGACCACTGTACATATTTTCTGTGAAATGCAACGAACATACTGAAAAATTTTTATATAGGTGTTCTACAGATTTGCTTTGCAAATCTAATCGATCACAAGCTTCCAACCACTGAGTTGCTCTGAAAATAATATTGATATAAGTTTAATTGCAAGAAAAACAATTATAAAACTAATTTACCGTTCTTGATTTTTTGGAACACGAAAAAAACTTAAACTTTTCCCCGCTTTTGATCGACAACCCTTCACCATACAGCAACGGTTCGACGTCTTCCTATCCATTACTACTTATTACCACTTACTATTACAAAACACAACGTAAAAGAACGAATGAAAAATATAATAACTGTATCTAAATAACTTCAAATAAGTATTGTAAAATTAAACTAGGTTAAAATAAAATGCCAACATTAAGATAATACTAAAAATATGAAGCTAAATCGCAAATGAATACACTAAAACAATCAAACACGTTGTAGACATAAGCGCATAGACACATAACCGTTTAACCACAAGTGAGGTTATCAGAGTTTATCTCACAATCATTCTCACAATAACAACATAACAATTCCCTTCAAAAACATGGCGCCACCGTACATGCGCACAAAAATCAGTTTGGCGGGATACCTCCAGTGTCACTTCTGGTCATATTATGTTATAGGCTAGTGTTTTATCCAGATTCATCGTTGGATGCACAGAGTATACAGAGGCCGGACTCCGGCTAATAAATTGGCACTCCTATCTATCCTTGTTCAATTAATGAAAACTTCGTATGGTACTTTCTCTCTCACATAAACTGAATCGATGTAGATGGCGCAATGGTCGCGTTACAGTAGTATTTAAAGAAACCAATAGATGGCACCATTTATTTCAAAATTTTTAAGTCGTAAACTCGTAGAGTTTAAAGAAGGCAATAGATGGCGCCATGTATTTCAAGTCGTAAATCTGTAAATTCCACAGCTACGTCCAGTTCAGTCCAGTTGGTCCAGCGGTCCACCCGCTGGGTCCGACCAAGGTTTGTAAAGCGTATTGCACATAAAGCGTATGGTACAATACGCTTTACAAACCTTGGGTCCGGCCTCTGTATACGCTGTGTCCAGGGTGTCCAGATTCATCGTTGGATGCATTAGCGAATATTCTATGATAGTTTATAACGCATTTTGTAACACAATTATGCAACATTTATAAAATTATTATATAAAGATGTTAAACAATTTTTATTGTGGTTTTATAGATGTTTATATAACTATTTTTTAGTAGAGATTTTTTAGTAGTCTTGTTAGATCAAGACACAGCTATAAAATAATTGAAGAAGACTGATGTATTATATAAATTGTGCTATAGTTCTTTTATAAACATTTTTATTACGTTGCTGAGACTGATGGCCGGTTTCTCGTACGAAAATGCATGTCGATATCGAACCGATATCGCGCTGTTGATCGATAACTATGGCGATATCGGTCGTTTGGGTTTCTGAAAGGATCGATAGGAGATATCGGATCGATAACTATATCGCATGCAACAAGCCGATATCGACTCGATAAGTGTGATTAATGACAGTGATGTGTGTTAAAAGATTGCGAATTTTGATTAAACTGTTCATCCAATGCTTGTTTCTTTACCATGTTTGTGGATATTTTATTTCGTTTGATTTTCTATTACTGATTTTCGTTCCATAACTAATTCCACTAACAATTTTTTATCGCAAGAAATAAAATTCTTCGATCGTTTCTCCATAGCGCACGTATTATCAAACTAACCGTTTTCGAAAAAAGGAAGAGCCCAAATTTCAACAGATGTCTTTTATTATACGTTAGTAACGTTATTTTTCTTTTCTAAATTATTTAATTATTAAAAAAAAGAAATAATTTAACTTAAATAATTAAAATTTTAGTTTCTCTTTTTTGGATTACCAAAACAATGTAGTGGATGCTTCGCTGGGCTTGTCCCGTTTGCATCCCAAGTGTAATAACTAAATAAATAAATAATTTTACGAACTGTTTGTTCAAAATTTTTACCGGCACCTATCGGCGGAAATAAACAAGTAACCGATTTTTTGACAAAATCGTTCGATAACCATGGATATCGGAACAATAGTTATCGGATCGATATCTTTTGACAGGTCGATATCGGCTGTTGGTGTTCTGGTACGAACTGATCGACAGATATTGCATACAATAGTTATCGAACGATTTTGTCAAAAAATCGGTTACTTGTTTATTCCCGTAGATAGGTGGCGGTGAAAATTTTGAACAAATAGTTCGTAAAATAATTTATTTATTTGTTTATTACACTTGGGATTCAAACGGGACAAGCCCAGCGAAGCATCCACTAATAAAACACACAGTACATAAACAAAAATAAAAAGTTGCTAAGACAAGGAATTGATAACGAATTGATAATAATAATAAAAATTAACAAACAAAAATCATCAAATAATAACAAAAATGATTAGTAAAAAAAAACAATTAACAAAAAAGAGAAACTAAAAACTTAATTATTTAAGTTAAATTATTTCCTTTTTTAAATAAGTAAATAATTTACAAAGGACTATACTAACGTACAATAAAAGATATCTGTTAAAATTTGGGCTATCCCTTTTTTCGAAAACGATTAGTTTGATAATACGCGCGCTATGTCGAAACGAACGAAGAATTTTACTTCTTTCGATAAAAAATTGTTAGTGGAATTAGTTATGGAACGAAAATCAGTAATAGAAAATCAAACGAAATAAAATATCTACAAATATGGTAAAGAAACAAGCATTGGATGAACAGTTTAATCAAAATTTGCAATCTTTTAACACACATCACTGTCATTAATCACACTTATCGAGTCGATATCGGTGCTTGTTGCATGCGATATAGTTATCGATCCGATATCGCTCCGATATCTCCTATCGACCCTTTCAGAAACCCAAATGACCGATATCGCCATAGTTATCGATCAACAGCGCAATATCGGTTCGATATCTACATGCATTTTTGTACGAGAAACCGGCCACGCCGTCAAAAGATATCGATCCGATAACTATTGCTCCGATATCTATTCGATATTATAATTTACGAGAAACCGGGCATGAATATGTTATATAAAATTATCTGGAAAACGTTTTTACAGCTTTAATAAAATAAGAAATTGCTAGTTGGGAGTATAAAGTTGCTACATTAACAAAGCGATCGATAGAGTTTGGCACATGGGATATTTATTCAAAATGAAAAAATGGTATCAAAAGAAACTTGATTACTTTAATCGATGAATTTTTAAAAAACAGAACGCTTGAAGTAAGTATTAATGACACATTTTCATTCTCAGTCAGTCTCACCCAAACAAGCCGTCCTTCACGGTTCCCCCTTCTCCTACCTTATACAATATTAGAGATGTTATAAACTACAGTGTGTTAATTAATTATCGTACCCGACGTCATCATTGCAAGTATGCAACGAATATCACAGTATTGGTATTGCAATACGCGCTTTGCGTATTTGGTTGCATACTTGCAATGATGACGTCGAGTACGATAATTAATACAATGTAGTATTTTTGTGGAACTGGTACAATATGTTCCTGTTCCTAAAAAATAACAGTTCCAAATACCTGTTAAAACTGTTCCTCTGTTCCAACCGTTATACAATAGTATATGAGGTATACTATACTTAACCTGTGCCTATATGTAATACTACACTGAGCGGCATAAAAACGCATCACCTAAAATGATGACAGGTTTCTGTCACTTTGAGGAGTTTAAAACTTTTTCCATGACCGAATTCTAATTTAAACATACATTTTAGTGGCAGTTAGGAAGAGCTTCCATTTAACTGATAAAGAATATGAAGTGGTAGTAAGCAATTGGTTACGACAAGCGAATTTACTTTATAATAGGCGAAATAAGGAAACCGCAGATGAGATAATAAAGAATATTGTTATTTTCTTTTAGTATTCTTTCTGTCGTTTACTCGTCGCAATACTGAAAACGTAGTGCAAGAATCGCATCTCAAATATGAAACAAATTTAAAAATTTTGTGTTGCCATTTCTCCATATATGTATATTTTATGTAGTTTTGTACTTTTATGTTTTAGTTTTATGTAGGTTATTTAAATTTTAGTTAAATTTCTTAGTCTTGAACAATCATAAAAAGATGATGAAAGAGATCCCCAGCTTCTTCAGACTACAAGTAAAGAAGACCTATTTATTTTGTAAAAGTCTTATTGTTATAAGTGAGACCACATGTTGTAAAATTCTTTTTATCAAGAAAAATAAACAATTCCACGACTGTAGTACATCGTTTGTGGTACATTACTTGTTTTATTGTATTATCTGACATGTAAATTGTCATGTAACTGTTTTTGTAAGTTATTTTGTAATACTGATAGTTTCTCTTCATAAAAAGAATTTTACAACATGTGATATCTCCAATAACTAAGATAAAAAAAAATGTTAAATATATTATTATAATTATTATTATTAAATATATTATAGGTATTCTTTACTTGTAGTCTGAAGAAGCTGGGGATCTCTGGCGAAACATCACAAATATATGTGTTTTAATTGAAACAATGTTTCGTTTGAGAAAAAAAAATTCTTTCGGTTATTCATATATAAACAGAAGTAAAAATAATTAAAAATACCACTAATATGATCTAAATTTAACTTTATATTTAAATGACCTACATAAATTATTGGAATGTTTATGTTTAATTTGTTTACAAATAAGAATTTTATTTTAGTTACCATTTTAATATATTTTGTATACATATTTACTAAATATATTTAATGCATACCTACTCTTATACTTACTTTATATGTCCTAATCAATGAGAAAACAGAATAGTAGAAATTATTGACTGATAATTTTGAAATTTGGTACAGTAGGCGGTAAGTAACAAGTATCGTACCATATCGTACTTCTATTATTATTTTTCCTACCTTAAGGTATGATTTTGTTGCAGCGTCCACCGTCTGCGCCCTGGGTGGTATGCTCAGAAATGCTTCCTCAGCATATGCATATCTTTTGAGGAAGCATGTATGAGCATCTTGTCCAGGATGCAGACGCTACACCTCAACGAAATTATATCTTTACATACATATGTACATCCCTGAAACGTCAACGAAACCTTTCAGAAATTATTTTTAAATGTTTATGATACATACTATTAATGTAATGTAAATGTAAACAAAACATTACAGAAATAATTCAAAACCATTAATGAAACATTTTAGTAGTGTACCGTAATTGTCAGCTGTATGTTGCAGAAACGTTTCAATAGAAACGTTTCAATAAAACATAAAAAGGGTCGGACATTAGCAGTTTCAGACACGTTTCATCTATGTTTCAGAAATATGTCGAAGAAACGTTTCATGTTTCAATAATATGTATCAGAAATGTTTCTGAAACGCAAATTTGTTTACTGGGCAATAACTTTTGAACGTATTGCTCGATTTGAATAAGGTTATAAAACCAACCAAATAAATAATTATCAATTGTCAATTATCTAAAAATGGAATATCATCAGGTTAACTTTTTTCAGTACCAATATGACAACGAAGCCTAAGTTTAAATATAGTGAAAAAGATCTTCAAAAGGCTCTCGA